GACACGGCGGACGCGGCCATGCTGGGGTTGAGCTGGGAGGTGATCTGGGAGGAGGGTGAGTGAGTGAGGAGTGAGTATGTGAGTGCGTGCTCGGGGCTGTGGCTTTTATACCCCTCCCTGGCACGTGCTGTCGCAGCGGCAGGCTTGGCCCTGCCCTGCCTTCCTTGCTGGTGCGCGGAGCCAGCGCCTGGGGAGTAAACAGTAGCTGTTTCCGTTTCCCCAAAACCCCCGCCCAACCTAAAAAAACCCTGAAATTGGCTTGGAGTGTGTTTACTGGTTTCAGTCTCAGAAGGAAAAGCTGAGGTGGAGCACGGGCCACGCCGCTTCCCTAATCGGGCCCAGCGGGCGGGCGGCGCGCACGTCTGTAGCGTGTGCTGGGTCTGGGGAGGGCGGGCACACGTCTGTAGTGTGTGCTGGGTCCAGGGAGGGGGGGCGCGCACGTCTGTAGAGTGTGTTCGGCAGTTGCACAGCTCAGGCATCTGAGCCTGTAGCCTGCAAATTGCACGGCTGGCTGCTGCGTTCTTGGGCTGCTGACCATGGCTGGAAGCGGGGAGAGAGGTTTATTTGGTTTCTGAATAAATATCACGTGAGTTGTGATTTTTCTGCAGGAAGGTATCCGTGTCCCTGGCTCCTGTAACAAAGCGGCACAGACTGGGTGGTTAAAGGACAGAAATGCTTTGTCTCAGCTCTCAGCCAACGTCTGGCTCAAGGTGCGGGCAGGGCCGGCTCCTTCTGGGGCGTGAGGGACAGTCTGTTCCAGGCCTCCCCAGTTTCTGGTGGTTTCCTGCCATCTCTGGCGGCCCTCGTCTTGTCGAAGCGCCGCCCCATCCCTGCGTGTGTCGTGCGGTGGCGCTCTCCCTGCGCACACGTCTGTCTCTGGATCCCCCTTCGTGTGAGTCACGTGGCAGCAGGGCCGCCCTGACCCCCTCGCCGTGACCGTCGACAAGGCCCCACCCCCACATACGGTCGCGCTCGCTGACACTAGGTCAGGACGTCAGCGTCTCTCTCTGGGGGACACAGGGCAGCCCCACGGTGCCGCTCTGGAGCAGACGCAGCACCGGAGCCTGGGGCGGGAGGGAAGGTTGAGCAGGTGTCCCTTCCCCGTGGCGGGACGGACGCGCACGGCCGCCCGCGCGCATCTGGACGCACTGAGCTCACGGGATGAGCGCAGTTGCTGCAGGAGTGCGCAGAGTCGAGTGTGCAGAGTCGCGTGCGCCCCTCCCCGGCGTCCTCGCCTGTTGGCGTCGGCTGTAACCATCGCTCGGTCACCAGGCCTCAGCCACTAACGCTGCACGTCCCTCGCCACTGGAAGGCCGACCGGTCAGACCCACAGCTTCCCCGCGTGTCCTCTGCCTGGACCCCCCTCTGCACTTGCCGAGCCTTCCCCAGTCTCGCGCGCGTGACGGCCGCGCAGGCTGTCCTTGTCCTTTGTGGCTGTGACGCTTTCGAAGAGTGCTGGCCGGGGTTTGCAGAACGCCCCACGCCGTGGGCCTGCCCGGCATCCCCCGGCGCTCAGAGCTGGGGCTGCACCTGGGGCGGAGTCCCACGAAGTGGCGTTGATGTCACGGGAGATGTCACTATTCTTCCCTGTGCTGTTAATAAATGTTTGGGGCGATTCTGTGAGATTTTGCAAATATCCCGCTTGCGCAGCACCGTTTGGGGATCCGCGCGGCTGTCTTCACCGCGGGTTCTCGCCGGGATTTTCTACCCTGTTTCACCAACATTTGCTAATTGAGATTCCTCTGTAAGGAAGGGCTGTCCCTTCTCCTCTGTTTAGCGTTTGTTCCTTTAGTTATTCATTTTACTATGGACTGAGAATATTTGTCTCGTTGTTTGAGTTATAATCCAATATTAGCATTGTGTATTTTGTGGTTCGAGTGCTCCAGCGGGAACTCTCATTTCGGCGCTCGTGCCTTTCCACGCGCCCCACTCCCTGCCTTTCCCTACTTCCTGTTCGAGCTCACGTCGTGCCTTCCTGGCTCCATCCCTGGGATCAGCCGCTTCTCCACAGAGCCTGGCCAGCTGTTAGCGCAGGACGCTCTTTAGAAACCCAGGCCCTGAGCTCCCAGGCCCCCGGGGGGGATGGGGCAAGGGGCGTAGGCAAGTGCAGACGCGCCTGGCGTAGCGGGAGAGTCACGCTGGCTCTAGTGTTCTAGGGCAGCGTCATCTGGTTTAAAACCGTCCCTTCTACGGCCGAGAGATCTTATCGTGAGTGGATGTTGGATTTTGCGAAACGCTGTCACGCAACCATTGAGATGATCATATAGTTTTCTTCTTTAGTCTGCTACCATGGTGAATTACATTAATTGATTTTTAAAACTTTTTATTTTGGAATAATTATGGATTCACAAGAAAGTGTAAAGACAGTGCAGAGAGATTCCGTCCAAAGACAGAATCACAACAAGTCAAGTGTGAGGATCGCACGGGCTTCACCGTGATTCCAGACCCGGCACCACCTCATTCCGCAGAGGAGAACACACGTCCCAGCGCGGCTGGTTTCACAGACGGAAAGGGCTGGAGAGCGCAGAGGCAGGGACGAAAGCGGGCTGGTCGTCCGCCCGGAAGACACTTTCCTTGCAGGGTGGAGACGGGGCAGGTACCAGCAGGAGGCCGCAGGTCGCCTTTTACTGTCAGGGTAGGACAGCGGGAACGTCGCTGCTGCGCAGAGTGAAGATGGAAGCCGGCCCGTTTGTCTCTGTCCTGGTTTCTCAGGCTGCGTAGCAGGTCAGTTTCGGCGCGGCGAGCACGGTGACTCCATTGACTTTTGGTCTGTCGGGGCCCAGGGTGGGAGTTTCGTCCCAAGCAATGGCCTCCTGTAACTTTTGTCCAACATGTCAACCTACAAAACAAAGAGGTTCTCTAACAGAAAGGATTTCGATTTGGGAGTAGAGCGTTGCCGTAGTAAACCGCGTGGTTTTCGCAGAGGTACAGGAAGCTTTTAAAGGAAGGGTGAGGAGGCTCACACGGCCGTTCTGACAGTTATCCGGGACCAAAAGGTCAGTCGCGGGGTGACAAGTTCACGCCAGACGGGCCGCCGTGGGCAGACATCCGTGCAGAAGCAGTTTCTCTGTAAGTTGCCGTGGCCTTTGTGCCAGGCTGTGGCTTTTGCAGAGTCTTCTCTGATGGTCGCTGTCAGGCGCACGAGCCCGAGAGCCCCGCACGGCCTCCCCCGGCCGCCACGTCTGCGCCACGTCAGCGAGGCCAACGTCCACCAGCAGGACCTGCAGAAACTGGTCTTTCAGCGGCAAACCCGCCTCAAACCCCTGGACGCCCCCTGCGGCGACGTGCGGCCCCCGACGTGTGCGGCTGGACTCCACTTGCTGGTACTCGGTCGAGGATTTTCACGTCTGTTCTTGAGCCATGTTGGGCTGTCGTTTTGACGGTGACCTCTCCGTGTGGTTCCGAGCACACCGCCCTCGGGAGAGGCGTCGGCCAGTGTTTCCTCTGCTACTTTCCGGGAGAGATGACACAGAATTGGCATTTTTCTCTTCCTTAAATGATTGGTAGAATTTTCCAAGACACCGGAGTTTTCTTTGCCTGAAGCTTTTCTTTTACAGATCGAGGAGTTCCCACTTTTCCGTTTCTTCTTCAACGAGTTCCGGTATTTGCGCCTTAACAGGCGGAATCGGTCCGTTTCATCTAAGGTTGTGAATGTACAGGCGCAGTGCTGTTGGCAGAATTCCCTTATAATCCTTTTAATTTCTGAAAATTGTCTAGTAATATCTCTTTTTGCTCTGGACACGGGTGCCTGGTTTCTCCACCCCCTTTCTTCGTGGTCAGCCTGGCTAGAGCTCGTCAGCTTGACCTTCTCCGAGGGCTGCCTGGGGCAGCTCCTTCCTCCCGCTCCCTTCCACCCCGTGCCCCGACTCCTGCCCTCACGCAGTCCTTCCTCCCGCGTGCTGTGGGCTCCATCCGTTCCCCATCTCGGCTCCTGGGGTGAAGGTCCCACGCTGGATCGATACCTTTCTCTGCGCCAGTGCAGCTGGGCGCACGCGCCTCCCTCTGCCTCAGCCGCGCCCCACAAGTCCCCAGCCGCCCGCTGTCCCGCCCGTGCCCGGGGCCGTGCCTGTGATCCCCGGGGCCGTGCCTGTGATCCCCACGGCCCTCCCGGGAGAGGCTGCGCCCGTAACTCCCGGTTTCTGTGCCCGCGTTTACAGGTGATGGGGTCCGGAGGACTCGCACGCAACCCGGAGGGCGGGTCGGCCTCGGAGGCTCCACCTGTGGGGCCCGCGGCTGTGTCGGGGACCCATGCGAGTTCGGGTTCCGCTCCCCGGGGCTGCAGGATTCATCCACCTGGCAGGAGACAGCCCTGGGCGGGGCCTGCTCCTCCATCTGTGCCTCCCCGCCCTGGCCCTGGCAGCGGCGCCCGGGAGGAGCACGTGGATCCAGAGCCTGTTGGGTGAGTGGGGCTGTCAGGCAGCTGAGCATCCTGTCCCAGGAGAGCTCGGGTCAGGCCCCTTGCCCCCTGCCAGCGGGCGTGTCTTCTAGGGCATGCGCCATCCTCCGCCTCCCGAGCGTCCACCTGCCCCAGGGGCCGGCGGTTGTGGGTTCGCTCCGCCCCTCCGTGGCTTTCTCTGCGGCAGCCGCGCCCAGCCTGAGAGCCGGGGGTCCCGTCCCGGTCCACGTCCCTTGACTTCCTTGAACACCGAGTGAGAGGAGCAGGTCTGAACCCGCAGGAGGTCCCGGGTCATGTCCCAGCTGGCCCCATCTTCACTTTTCCCATTTCTTTTTTTAAACCAGTATAATGGGGGCAGGGACGTCGGTGACTCCCGTCCCTGAAGCATCTCGTCACGTTGTTGCCCTCGGCTTCCTTCCTCTCTAAAGTTGCGTGTGCTGTTTTTCTCCCTGGACGTGTCCCTGTGTTTCCCTTGTGGGTTTTCAGGGCCCCTCGTAGGGCTTAGGCATCACGAGCGCGTTTCCCGCCGGGGCGTCGTGTCCTTCCCCGAGCAGGACTCCGGTCGGACGGAAGCAGATTTGCTGCCCTCCCCCCTGACGGCGCGTGTTGACAGGCGTGTCTGAGAGACCTTCCCGGGCCCTGGGCGCCCCGCCGGGTTTCGCGTTTCACGCCCTCGCATCCGTGCGTCCTGCTGGATTCCGAGGTGGCGTCCTCCCCACAGGCTCCGGCTTCCCCAGCCCCACCCCCGGCCGGGCCGTCCTCTGCCCACTCACTCCGGGGGCGGCCTGCCAACCTGGGGGCCCCCCTCTGGCTCCGGCTGGCTCTTCTTGGGCCGGCCTGGACGGCTTTGTCACTAGGCTGCGTAGTGTGTCTTGCTATCTTTGGGGCAGCCACACAGTCCCCTAACCGAGCCGGGAGGTCAGCTCCTGGCACCTGCCCCCCCCCACCCCCATTTAAATCAACGGACTCCGGGAGTAAAGGCCGTCGAGCTCCCGCTCCCGCCACTCCCTTCCCGGGGTCCGTCTGAAGCGTGGCCGGGTGTCCTCCCAGGGAGGGGCCTGCGGCTCACACCTGTGCGTCGAGCTGTGTCCTCGGAACGGCTCGGTCTTCAGGGGCTCCAGCTGGAGCCCGTCCCCAGGGAACAGTCAGGGTGTGGAGCCTGGCCCCCGGCCTTCTCTCCGCACCATCTCTCCTCCCAGCCACCGGCGGTTACGAAGGCTTCGCCAGCCAGGCCTCTCAGAGCTGCCCCCGCACCAGGCTCGGTGCAGGGCCCGGCTCCGGCCGCCAGCCGGCCACGTTCTCACACACCTCTGGGTCCCCTGCCTGGGTGCCTGTTCGGGGGCGTCCTGTTGGGGAAGCCTGAAGACATGTGCCCAGGACGCACCCCCTCCTAGCCCTTCCGCCTTACAGCGGCAGGACCTCTCCGTGCGCCCTCCCTCCCACGGGAGCCCCGTGCACACGTCCTCTGGCTCTAGCCAGGGGTCTACACTGGGCGGTGAGTGATTAGAGGTTTCCCCTGCTCTCCCACTGGGCTTGTTTAACCCCCTGACACCTGGCAGCTCAGCTCGGCTCCTGACAGGAGATGCCACCATCGTCCCACTTTACAGATGAGGAAACTGAGGCTTAGAGAGGGTGAGTGAGTCGTGGGCCAGATCTTTAGATCAGAGTCTAGCCTAGGAGCCTGCATGTAGCCAGCTTTGAGTTAATCTACTTGCGGCTGTCACGTCCCCTCTGCCAAATTATGAGCCCCTGAAAGACAGCGACTTTTATTGCTGAAGCCACCATTTCAAGAAGCCTGTTTGGAATAAACGAGGACCGTCTGCCTGAGAACATGCACGGCCGTATCAGAGCTGGCCGTGGGGAGGGCTTGGCCACCGCCACCTGTGTTTGGCAGAGACACAAGGGCAGGCAGGGGAGGGGCCAGGGAGGTGTCGTGTGGGGAGCTGGAGCTGGCCCCCCGGGATCCGTGAGGGGTGGGACGAGTTGGAAGTGGGGACAGACACTGGGGAGGCTGCCGTCACTGGCCGAGCCCGGACCCTTCTGGGCCGAGTGCAGCAGAGGCTCGGCGCGGCCCGGGCTGGCGGCTGCAGGGTTGGGCCGGAGCTCTCCCGTCTGGTGCGGTCTGGCCGTCGGCCGTTTGCGCGCTCAGTCTCTCGGCGCGATGTGGCAGGTGCCGACCACAGTGTGTCGTGTACCGAGACAGCCACGACTTCCGCAACTCAGCCACCGTTCACTCCCTCATCCAGCAGGACGTTGCCAGGAAGGTGCACGACTGTCTGCCAACCTCGAAACCCTTCGCACGTGTGCGTGACCGCGGCACAGACACCTGCATGGTACATTCGGACCGAGCATCTGTCAGAGCAAAGACTGTTCGTTTTTGCACAGATCAGGGTGGGCAAGGTGGCCAGGAAGAGGCATTTTTATTAAACGGTGGGCGGAGAGTCCCATGCCAGGGCCTCTCTGGTTCCCGGTTGCCACGGCCCAGCAGTCCCCTTGCTGGGGTGCGTCCCCCGTGCCCTGGGGCGCAGCGAGGCAGAGGCACATTCTGGGTGCCGGGCAGGCTGCCCGTGGGGGTCCCACGTGTCCTGAGCCAGGGGCTGGACGCTGGTGGTGCCACAGCTAAGCCCCGCAGGGTGAGCCCACCACCAGGCAGGGCCGCGCACGGTGTCTCTTGGAGATTTGGGGGTGGTGGGGGATTGGGGAGCCCAGGGCACACTCCGCAGGGAGTGGAGTCCAATCCCCACCCCAGCCAACCTAAGGCTTGGTCAACATCGGGGTCCCTGAGCACAGCCTCAGCCCCAAGATGCTGGAGTCCTCCCAGACCCCCAAACACACAGCCGCCTCCGGGGCTGGTCACTGCTCCTTACGCTGGAGAATACAGACCCTTCTACACACGATGTCTTCACCGTCGCTGGCCGTGCCTGGTAGCTCATTTATTTATTTTTTATTTTTTATTTTTTTTGAGACAGAGTCTCGCGCTGTTGGCCAGGGTAGAGAGCTGTGGCGTCAGCCTAGCTCACAGCAACCTCAAACTCCTGGGCTCAAGCGATCCTCCTGCCTCAGCCTCCCAAGTAGCTGGGACTACAGGCATGCGCCACCGTGCCCGGCTGATTTTTTCTATATATTTTTAGTTGTCCAGATAATTTCTTTCTAATTTTAGTAGAGACGGGGTCTCGCTCTTGCTCAGGCTGGTTTCGAACTCCTGAGCTCAAACGATCCGCCCGCCTCGGCCTCCCAGAGTGCCGGGAGTACAGGGTAGCTCATTTGATAGCACGAGGTCTTTCCAAAATGCAGCAGAGCCTCCCCGCACGGCCTTTTGTGTTTAGTTGTGTAAATAATAACAAGAGTAACACGTTCTCCCGTCACAAAGCAGGCCACCCTGTCCTCACGACGCCCTTGCATCCGTGCAGGTCCTGACACGCCCAGTGTGGCGGGTCACATGCCACCCCTGCCCCCACACGGCCTGTCCTCCTGCCCCAGTGGGTCCCACGATGGGTCCCGCGATGTTGGCCACCCGGCGGCTGGGCTGAGCTCGCACGGCATCTGCGGCCGGGACGCTCGTGCAGATGCGCCAGCCCTGCCCCCGCCACGCGGCTGCGTTGTGTCCGTTGTTCTGGAACAGACAGGTGCCGTCCACACCCTGGGGCAGCCCCAGGCACGCTCCTCTGCACACTCCGCCGCGGCTTGCGCTCTCCGGAGGACCTCGGAGGACCCTGCCTGGCGGGCGCCCACGGCCCCCATGGGCCTGATGTGCTTCTTACGAGAGGGGGTCTGGCCGCTGTCCTCGTGGGGCCTCACCCAGGCACGTCACAGCCCGGACGTGAACTACGACCCCCCACTGCCCTCTAGGGCAGCAGCCCTTACTGCGTCAAGGAAGACCACCGGTTTGACCCCTGAAGGAGGGCGTTGCTCGGATTTCTGGGTCGTTCTGTGGGCTGCCTGACATCAGCAGGGCACTCGTCTGCCCCAGTCCCCTCCGTCCGACCCAAATGTCCCTGCGGCTCAGACGGCCGTGCTGGGTGGGAGCACCTCCACTCTGCAGCTCTGGCCAAGGCCCGAGCAAGGTCACGGGGAGCCAGTCGCGGCCTCTTTGCAGCATGGCTCAGGGTGGGGACGTGGGGCGGTTACGCTGGAGGGCAGAGGGCCACGTGCACTGACCCCACACCCCGTGTCGGACTCAGGCAGGGGCCCCGTGGCAAGACGCCGGCCCGAGGGAGACGGCTCCGGGGGTGGCTGCTCCAGTCCCACGGGCTGGTCCTCGTCCTGAGCCACGGCTGCCGCAGAGGCCAGTCGGGGTCGTCCAGGCACCAGCCTTGGCTCTGCTGCCGGGCAGTGGCCTGGGCCCGGGGGGTGGGGGGTGCGAAAGCCTCTTTCTGGCCACAAGCACCCTCTGCATGTCCGCGTTCCTTCCCTGACGTCTGCCCTCAGGTGGGGCCAGGCCAGCCCCCGCTGTGCACCAGGGGCTCTCCTGCTCGTCTGCCCCGCCCGTGTGCCTGGAAGGGGCCGGGGGAGGCACGGCCAGCTCCGCACTGCTTCCAGGTCTGTGCGGGACCCGCAGCCTCCAGCCACGCCGCCCAGCCTCTGCCGGGAACACAGGGTGCAGGCGAGGCCCAGCAGGGAATCCTGCGCTCGCCCTGCCTCGTCCCCGGTCGTCCTGTGTCTGCGGCGGGGCCGGGAGCTCCCTCCTCTGTCCAGCTCGGCACACCCCGCACGGCTCCTGGCTGTCGCCTGCGAACAGCGGCAACGGGAACGTGTGTCCGCAGCTCCAGGGACACCGTGCAAAGTCCGGCAGGAGCGGGAGTGGGGACGGGGCCCGGCGGCAGGCCCAGAGGCCATCCTTACTCCTCGGTGCCTCAGTTTCCCCACTGGTAGAACAAGAATGATCAGGACGTGTAGCTCGTCGGGGCTGTTGTGAGAATTATGCAAAACGCCAAGACCAGAGCCCACCACAGCTGTGCCCGCGAGTGCTGGCTGTCGAGGGTGTCACCTTATGGGGCGACGTCCTGGCCTGACCCTCCTGTGGTTTCTCTGACACAGACCTGCGGCCCCTGGACATCCTGGCAGAGGTCGTCCCGCCCCCCGGCGCCCCAAGCGAAATCAGGACGATGCAGGCGCACGGCGTGCGGGGACTCCAGCTCTCGGCAGCCGCCCCCCAGGCCATGAGCTTCCCCGCCTCCCGGATTTTCTTCCGATGTGATCTCTTCCCTCAAGAATTTTCCATCGTTGTGACCTTGAAAGTCCCCGATCTTCCACCCAAGGTCAGTGCGCTTTTTGCTCTTCGTGCTAGAATAACCTGATGTTCCCTCCCAAGGCTCCCAACTCCAGCGCCGGCGAAGGGCGTGAGGGACGCAGGTCACGGCGGGGCTTTGTCAAGGACCCCTGGGCTTTCCGAGGGCTCGAGAGCTCTCGCCTTGCTGTGGCGAGGGCCTCCTCCCTGGCAGCGCGTGGGCGGCGTGAGCTCTGATCCCTACGATTACAGGCGCAGTCCTTAGGGTTTTGTCTCGACATCCTTTGGCAGGAATTGCTAACAATAAAATCACATAAAAACGTGCATGTTGTGGACCCGTTCACCCGTAATTTGCAGTCTGACCAATCCCTGATCTAATAAACGTGCCTGTTCCAGTTTGGAAGGTGGGGACTGACCCTGTTTTCCCTGTCCCCCGTGGTTTCCGGAACGATGCACATCACACGTGTGCAACAATCCCTCCGAAGTTCATACAAACGATTTTGCGTTTCCAGTTAGGAGTCACCAGTTAAGAAAGGAGTCACCCCGCTTCCTGCGGTGGCGGCTCCGCTGCGGGTTTGTTCCCTGCAGTGAGACTTGGCGGACGCTTCCTGCCCAAGTTCACAGACCTCTCCCCCGCTCCTCCGAATCTGCAGTCAGACCCGACTGCTGAGTTTCAATTCCAGCATGTTCAAGTTCTATGATTTCCATTTTATTCTTTTTTGTACAAACTCTGCTTTTCAGGTTAAATTCTCCCCAGTTATTTCTGGAGCACGACTCTGGCGTTTGGCTCCAACGGCTCCACTGTGTGGACAACGCCGGTAAATGACCGTCTGTCTGTGGATTTGCCCATCTGCGTTCCACGTGAACGGAATCGTATGATACACGGTCCTCTGTGACTGGCTGCTCCTGCTTAGCATGGCGTTTCCAAGATGTATCCACGTGTAGCGTGTAGCAGCACCTCATTCCTGTTTATGGGCGAATAATACTCCGTGACGTGGATATTCCACATTTTGATTATCCATCCATCCGTGATGGACATTTGATTGTGTCCACTTTCGCCGTTGCGAATAACGCCACTATAAACATTCATGAGCACGTTTTTATGTGGACGCATGTTTTCATTTCTCGTGAGTACATACTTAGGAGTGGAATTCCTGGGTCACATGGTGAATTTTTGGAGGGACTGCCAGGCTGTTTTGCAGGGCAGCCGCCCCATCTCGTGTCCTGTCAGCAGGATGTGGGGTTGCGAACTCTCCACACCTTTGCCAACACTTGTTGTTGTCTGACTTTTTGATTCGAGCCATCCTCACAGGCATGAAGTGGCGTCTAATGATGGTTTTGAGTTGTGTTTCCCTGATGAATAATGATCTTGAATATTTTTCATGTGTGTATTGGCCATTGTGGATCTTCTTTGGAGAAATGTCTCCTAAAATCCTTTGCCAGTTTTCATTGGGCTAATTGCCTTTTTTTTGCTTAGCTGTAAAGTGTTCTTTATGTGTTTGGTAAAAGCCCTTTGTCAGATATGTGATTTGCAAATATTTGCTGCCACTCTGAGGATTGTCTTTTTACCTTTTTGATAGAGTCCTTTGAAGAATAGAACCTTTTAATTTTGATGATGTTCAATTTATCTATTTTTTCTCTCATTGTTTATACTTTTGGTGTCATTTCTAAGAATCCATTGCCAAATCTGCAGTTCAGAATTACCCCATGTTTTCTTCTAAGAGTTTTATTGTTTTAGCACTTACATTTAAGTCTTCAACTTATTTCAGTTAATTTTTGTATATGGTGTGAGGTAGGGGGTTCAAATTTATTCTTTTGCATGTAGATACATAGTTGTCCCCACAACACTTGTTAAAGAGATGATTTTTTTTTCCATTGAGTGGTCTTGGTGCCCTTGTTAGAAATCAGTTGACTTTAGATATATGAGTTTATTTCTGGACTCTCAATTTATTCCATTGATCTGTTCGTCAATTTCTACAAAGAAGTAAGCTTGGGTTCTGATAGGGTTGGGTAAATTTGTAGATTTATTTGAGGAATATTGTCATGTACACAACATTAAGACTTCTGATCCATGAATAGGTGATGTTTTCCCATTGATTTACATCTTCTTTAACAAAAAGTTTTATATAATAGTTTTTGGTTATTTTGTTAAACCTATTCCTATTTTTTTCTTTTTGATGCTGTTATAAATAGGATTTTTTTCTTAATTTCATTTTTGGTCTCCTCGTGGTAAATGTATAGAAACTCAGTTGATTCCTGTATATTTATCATGTTTCCTATCTTTTTTCCTGCAACCTTGCTGAGCTGGTTTATTAGTTCCGGTAGCTTTTTAGTGGATTTCTTAGGATTTTATGTTATATACATGAGATCCTGTCATCTGTGGATAGAGGTAATTTTGTTTCTTCCTTTCCAATCTGGATGGCTTTTATTTTCCTTGCCCAGTTGTTTCGACTAGCACTTGCAGCATGATGCTGAGCAGACGGCCTGGTCTCCCTCCTGATCCGAGGGAGAAGCGTCTGGTCTTTCACCTCTAAGGGTGGTGCTGGCTCTGGATCCTTCACAGATGCCCTTAGTGGATTGAGGAAGTTTCCTTCTGTTCCTGGCTTGTTGAGTGTTTTTTGTTATGAAAGGATGTTGGATTTTATCAAGTACTTTTTCTGCATTTATTGTGATGATCCTGCTGTTTTTGTTTTTATTCTTTGATATGATGTATTCCATTAATTGATTTTCAGATGTTAAACAATCTTGCATTCCAGGGATAAACCCCATTTGGCCATGGTGCATAACCCTTTTATATGTTGCTGGGTTCAGTTCGTTAGTATTTTATTGAGGATTTCACATCCACATGCTGGGAGATATTGGCCGTTAGTTTTCTTTTCTTGTGATGTCCAATCTGTTTATGACATGAGAATAACACTGGCCTCATAGGATGAGCTGGGAAGTATTACCTCCTCTTTTAGTTTCTGGAAGAGTTTGTGAAGATTGGTATTAAATCTTCTTTATTTAATTCCACTCTACTCTTTATTATTTCCTGCCTTGTGCTTGCGTTAGGGTTAGTGTGTGCTTTTCTCCGGTGCCTTAGCACAGCAGGTTAGGTTACGGATTTGAGACCCCTCTCAAGGCAGGTGTTTATAACTGTGCATTTCTCTCCGAGCAGTGCTTTTGTGGGTCCTGTAAGTCCTGGTATTTGGGTTTCATTTCCATTCTTCTCAATGGACTTTACGGTTTTCCTTTTGATTTCTCTTTGACCCTTTGGTTATTAAGAATCTATTGTTCAATTTCCACATATTTTTGAGTTTCCCCCAATTTTTTCTGTTATTGATTTCTAATTTCATTTCATTGTGGTCAGAGGACACACTCTTATTATTTCTACCCTTCCTAGTGTACGAAGGTTTGTTCTATGGCTGGACGGCGTTCCGTGTGCGTTGGAATGTGCACCTGCTGTTACCGGGCAGAGTTCTGTGCACATCTGCTGGTCTCGAACCTCCTGCGTCATTCACGTCTTCTATTTCCTTGTTGACATCCTGCCCAGGTGTGCCGTCCACTACTAAAGTCAGGTATTAAGTTTTCAACTTACGTTGTCAAATTGTCTGTTCCTCCCTTCGTTTCCGTCAGGTTTTGCTCCGTGTACTCCGTGCTCTGTTACTGTTTGCATGTGTGTTTATATTTGTTTTATCTTCCTGATGGGCTGACCTCGTTATTATTATGAAATGTCTCTCCTTATCTCCCACAGCAGTTTTTGTTTTAAAGTCCATTCTACCTGGTACTAGTTTAGCCACTGCAATTGTCCTGTTTGCCCGATTCATCTCTTTCCACCCGCTGACTTTCAATCCATTTGCGCCTTTGAATCTAACGTGAGCCTGCTGTGCGGGCCAGCGGGAGAAACCTTGCTTTTTATGTAATCCAGTCTGACAATCTCCGCCTTTGATTGGATTGTTTAATTTCTTCACACTTAATGTTATTGTTGATTACATTCTATCCTCATTATTTGCAAATTCACCTACTCACTAACACTGATGTGCAACCCCAAATTTGATACACGTGGTGCTTTTGTGATCGTTCGCAGACGTGTAGAGAGTGGGGAGAAATTGGGGTCTCCCGTGGTTCCAGCTGAGGTTAAACAAGGCAACACTGTGCCTCCTTCATAAGGATCATTTATGGTCTATTTAATCCTGCTTTTTTGTGGGTCTTTTGTGTTTTTGTTTTGTTTTGTTTTGGTGATTTTGCTGTTTCAAGCGGGCCTTTGGCATAGTGGTGAAGTGCCACCGAGTGTTCCCAAGTGCAAAAAGGCTGTGATGTGCCTTATGGAGAAAACGTGTGTTCGGGGAGCTTTGTTCAGGCATGGGTTAGGGTGCTGTTGGCTTAGTTCAATGTTAACGAATAAACAATAAATATTAAACACACATAGAACAAGACTATGTATTGAGCAGTTGAAAACTGGCGAGAGGCTCACAGGAACCTAACGGTGTTTCTCCCGGGAGCAATGATGTGGTTTGGGCCATCAGGACTTGCAGTGACTCTATATGACAGAGTGGATGCTGAGCACTGGTGAGGACCGGCTGTGGCCGGATGTGTGTCCGCCGCTTTACTTCTTGTCTGTCGTGTGTCTCGTGGCTGTTTTGGTCATTGTTCCCCTATTCTGCCTTTACTGCTTTCTTTCGCACAGTGGATATTCTCTAATGTAACATTTCGATTTCTTTAGCATTTTTCCAACATACCTTTTTAGCTTTTCCTTAGCGGTTGCTCTGGGGCTTACCACATATTTATTTTAAATTATCAGAATCCATTTGCGATTTATACGAACGTAATCCTGGTGAGATATAAAAAGGTTGCTCCTCTATAACTCTGTTCCTTTCTTCCCTTTTTGTGGTTTTATTGTTATATATATTACATCTGCAAATGTCAAAAAACCCCAACAATATATTGTTATAATTGCTACTTTCTATAATTTTATGATTTTTAAGGAAGTTGACAGAAGAAAGGAGAACAAGCGCATATTCATAGCTGTTGTCATATTAACCTTCCTCTTATCATTCCCAACTCTCTCCACTCTTCCCCGCGGGTTCAGGCTGCCGTCTGCGCCGGCTCCTTTGCCCAGCGTGGCTCCGCGCCGTGCACCTCCCCGCCCCGCTGCTGCCGGGCACACTCGGGGTCTGAGTGCTGTGGCTCAACAACGCCGAGGTACATCTTCCTGCTATTGCTTTTCCAACCAGTTGAGAGAAGAAAGGAGAAAATACGTGTTTGTGTGACCTTTTGTAATTATGTAATTACCTCGACTACTGTTTCTCTTTGTTCATGTGGATGTGGGTTTCTGCCTGGGGCGCTTGCTTTCAGTCTGAAGAACTCCTGTCGGTCGGTATGTCTGATACGATGAGCCTGCTGGAGACAGATTCCTTCAGCTTTTATTTATCTGAGAATGTCTTTACTTTGCCTTCATACCTGCAATACAGCTCTGTTGGATATAGGATTCTTGGCTGACAATTTTTTCCTTTGGGCACTTTGGATATATCCTCCTCCTGCCCTCTGGACTCCGCTGTTTCTGGCAAAAAGTCAGCTGTTCATCTTCTCAGCGTTCTCTGTTCAGAGTTCTCCTGTTTCTCTTGCTGCTTTCAAGATTTTCTCCTTGTTTTTGACTTTCGGCATTTTTACTATGATATGTCAATTTGTGAAACTTTTGTGTGTGTTCTACTTGGCATATACTGAGCTTCCTGGATGTGTACATTAACGTTTTTCAATGAATTTGAGAAGTTTTCAGCCATTATGTCTTTGAAACAATATTTCTCCATTGTGGCCTGACTTTGCCAGGTGGTCATCCATCAGAGGTCAATGAGGCTTCAAACCCTGCAGCCCACCGACCCTAAAAGCGCTCAGGGGAGCCCTGGCCTAGTTCTGGAGATCCCTGCAGCCCAGGACACTGCCACGGCACCTGCCCTCGCCCTGTCAGAGACTAGACAGAGCATGGTGACTATAGATTAAGGAGACAAGGGGTCCATGATCAGAACTTTGCATGCTCACCAAGGCACAGTTGTGGTACCAGGCACTGGGGGACAGGCTGCTGTACACAGCAGTGCAGGTGTCTGTGTGACGTCCAGCCCTTGTCACTTGCATGTTTGCTGTGACAATGTCCAGGAGATAACAGCAGAGTTACCACATTCCAGTGACTTTCTTTGCCCGTAGAAGGGGACACTCTAGAGGGAGAAGACCTCATTGTGTTTGCTCGCAGGGACTGTAGGAGCTCCGAGGCCCCCGTTGCAGGGAGGCTGTCTGGGCCGCGAGGAGAGGAGAATGTGGGAGCCCCGGGCACACCCCTGGGGGAAGGTTCTGTAACAGTCTCGTGAAATGAAACACAGGAATTTGCCCCTCACGGTCGCCCCTGCTGTGCTGGGCCGGCGTCTGCCTCCCTACCCTTCTATGGGACCAGTCTCTGCAGGAAGATGCTCGTCCCTCACTCCTGTGCCAGGTCCACCCGCGGCAGGAACATGCCCCCGTTCCCACCGAAGACAGGCAGCATCGACCCAACAGAACGGGCTCTGCCACACGCCAGGCCAGCGGAGCATCGTCGGGTCTGCCCACGGTGGACACACCTCTCCCTTTCCTCGAAGCCCAGAATCGGGCTCCTCCCTTTGCTGTCCCTCCCAGGGGCAGACGTCTGTGCACCGAGGAAAACCCCTGCTGGGCGGAGCGCAGGGCTGTCCGATTCAGAACGTGTCCTGATGGCCGCCGTCCCTGCACCTGGGGTGTATTTTGATGCAATCAAAACATTTCTACTGGCTGACCTCTGGGGACAGACGCAGGTCAGGACAGCCCCAGCTCCACTCAGGAGCCTCACAAGCCAGCAGCATGCAGAGACACGGACCCAGCGCTGCTGACACAACACGTGACTCCAAGCAGGAATAAGGAAAGGGGAGGCTTCGCTGCCTGCTGCTGGGACGACACAAACAGCCGGGGGTGTATAAAAGCCCGACTGCCCAGAGCACCTCACTCCTCACCCACACACTCACCCCTCACCCACTCACACCTCCCAGCGCAACCCCAGCATGGCCGTGTCCGCCGTGTCCGTCTGCTCCAGCGACCTGAGCTACGGCAGCCGGGTCTGCCTGCCCGGTTCCTGCGATTCCTGCCCCGACTCCTGGCAGGGGGACGACTGCCCAGAGAGCTGCTGCGAGCCCCCCTGCTGCGCCCCCAGCTGCTGCGCCCCGGCCCCCTGCCTGACCCTGGTCTGCAGCCCAGTGAGCTGTGTGTCCAGCCCCTGCCAGTCAGTCTGCACCAGCACCTGCACGCCCTCGTGCTGCCAGCAATCTAGCTGCCAGCCGGCTTGCTGCACCCCCTCCCCCTGCCAGCAGGCCTGCTGTGTGCCCGTATGCTGCAAGCCCGTGTGCTGTGTGCCCGTGTGCTGCAAGCCCATGTGCTGTGAGCCTGTGTGCTCTGGAGCTTCCTCTTCATGCTGCCAGCAGTCTAGCTGCCAGCCAGCTTGCTGCACCCCCTCCCCTTGCCAGCAGTCCTGCTGTGTGTCCGTGTGCTACAAGCCTGTGTGTTGCAAGCCTGTGTGCTGCAAGCCCATCTGCTGTGAGCCTGTCTGCTCTGGGGCCTCCTCTTCAAGCTGCCAGCAGTCTAGCTGCCAGCCAGCTTGCTGCACCTCCTCCCCCTGCCAGCCGTCCTGCTGCAGACCTTCCTCCTGCGTGTCCCTCCTCTGCCGCCCCGTGTGCAGACCTGCCTGCTGTGCCCCCGCCTCCTCCTGCCACCCCAGCTGCTGCCGCCCAGCCTCCAGCGTGTCCCTCCTCTGCCGCCCTGCCTGCCCCCGCCCAGCCTGCTGCAGCTTCTCTTTGGGCCAGAGGTCCAGCTGCTGATGGGCACGTCTCATTTCTCCAGCGCTGTTCCAGGGCCAAGTCTGACGCCCACCTGCAATCCTTGGAGCCCTGAGCCCATTCTGGGTATCCTCTGCCATGGAGACCCCACTACAGCCAGCTGTGCTGAGCCCCCGCAGCTGGGCTGGCTCCCTGGCGGGCTCCGAGGTCCCACCTGGCCGTGCATTTGTTCTCCTCTCCGTCCTGGTTGGCTGGTGGTGGCTTTGTCCTGCCCTGTGTGAGTGACTAGTCTTTCAACAAATAAAGTCACTAATGTGCCTTCTCAGAAGCCTTATTTGCATATGTGTCCGAGCATGGGAGAAGAGCTTCGAGCTGACGTGTGGGTGGGCACTTTAGGACGCTGGCCTTGAGCTGGTCCAGGGTGACAGCACCATGGGGCAGGGCCGGCTGTGACCTCTCCTGTGCCAGGGTGCCTGCTGTGGTGGTCACCTGCCAGCCTCAGTGGGGACACTGCCCACCTGGGGTCTCTGGGAGCCCCTGGGAGCCTCTGGGATGTCCCAGCCTTGGTCGTGGTGCTCTGTGCTTCCTGTCCCTCCCCCTGGGGCCTGGAGTGAGCTGCCCGGGTGCCCCCCTGTGACCTCTCGGCACCCACAGGCCAGCCTCAGCCCGGACTCCTGCCGCTCCCTTCCCCACCCCGTCTGACCTCCGCTCCCATCTGCCCACCAGCTCTTAGTCAATAAAGTAAATATTTCTCATTCCTGGGAGATATCTTAAAGCTAATCTTTTATCCATTGAGTATCTATGCATGTTTTACATTCTGGGCATGGTAATTTCAACATCCGAAGTCTCTGTTGGTTCTATTTCGGTTTTCTGTAGTTTCTGCCCGTTCTGACTCACGATGTCTCATTCCCTTGTGTACTTAGCTATTTTTGGCTGAGTAATAGTCCTTATCCTTGTCCTTGTCCTTGACAAGTATTTGTGGGCGTTTCTGGGGCCTCAGGCGAAAGCGTGTCTGCTTTTCCCTGCAGCGAGCAGCGCTGGGCCTGCAGGAACCCTGCCGGCTAAATTCATGGCCTGTGTTTTGTGGGCCACGCGAAAGGTGCACGTTGGGGCTGCAGAAGGAGGCGGCTCGCCGGGGAAGGACGTTTTCCTCCAGGCGTGCGGGGTCCCGAGGCCACGCACAGACCCCAGGTGGCAGAAGCCCGAGTGTCCCTCCGATGCCCCCTCCTCTGCAGCCCCAGCGTAACGTGGGGAGCGTCTCCCTCAGCCCTCACCAGAGGGGACTCTTGGCTGTGATTTCTGTCCCCTTGAGTCTGCAAAACTGTCCAGTCCTCAGTTGCAGTCGGCTAGACCCCCACACGCCCTCGGGAACACAGCGGCTCCTGGGCCGGCGGACGCTGCGCGAGCCGGCTCTCCCCCTGCGGCTCGTGAACTTGCGCGAGAAGCCGAAAAACGACTTCTTTGTTTTCACTAACCTCTAACTGAAATCCGCGTTTCAGTCGGTGACGAAGGCGGTCGGCAAACCCCGCAGCCTTGTCCGCAACAGGTCAGATCCGCGGGTGCCGCGCTGTGGCCGCCACAGTGCTCCGAACCCGCCTGTGGTCACCGCGACCTCGCGACTGTGGCAGCGCCAGGCCCGCGGGTCCTGCGACGCGTGCACTGCTCGGGAAGCACAGGCCACGTCGCCGTGTCACATTTTCATAGCGGCGTTTCAACGCAGTTGGTGTCCTTGGCAGCCCTGTCGTGAATTTTACTCTCCTGGCTTCCCACAGTGGCCAGGGCCGGCCACGGCACAGAGGGCCGAGCTCCCGTCTCCCCGATTTAGTCCCTTCAGCTTCCTGTGGCCGTCAGGGGGATCCCTCCGGGATTCCAGTCGCCCTCGGCAGGGAAGAACCGGGAGCGCAGCCCCCCTCACCCCTCGATTCTCATCACGACGAGTCAGGAACTTTCTGAACCTTCCCCAGCTGTTGGCAGTGGTTCCTGAATGCTCGAGGCCTTTTCTTTGGAACCGTCGTGTCTTCCTTTGTCCGGGTGACATTTCGTTCCTTCTCCGAGTCCTGCCGCTCCCACGGGGAGGACACAGGCACCGCAGCGCCCGGTTTCCTTCCGAGCTCCCAGCCCAGCTGCCGGCCCGCGGTGCCCCGTGTCTGGTCTTGTAGCCCCGAGCGAGCTGTCCCGCCCTTGAGCCTGGCAGGGCCACGTGTGCGCAGAGCTGGCTCCACCGTGTGCCCCTGCTGGTGGGGGGTTGGGGGGTCACCCCGTGGTGGGGAGGGGGGGCCTCGCTCCGGTGCTCCCTGGTGCCCACCACGGCAGATCTCCGCTGCCCTGGCCAGCCTGGCCCTGCCAGGTGACCGCCTCTCCCCGCTGGACGAGACACTGTAAGGGACACAGTCTCCCCACATCCAGGGAGCCGTGGGCCAGGCCGGCGCGTGGGGTGTGGGGCCCCCTAGTTTGTATCGGTCGCCCCTGTGGGAAGCCGGGGAGGCAGTTGTGCGTGTGCCCCCCGCAGCCCCTGACCCGGGGGCACCTCTCCCGCTCCCCGTCACTGTGTGTGTGTTTAATTGTGACATCAGCTACCTGCTTTTTGGTTTTTATTTATGAACCGTCTTGAGAAATTGTTTCATCTAATGAGAAGAATTTGCTTTATAACCACCTTTACCCATTCTGCCGCTCTGATTAAGCTCTCTGCTTTAGAGGTTTTCTTCTTGTTTCTGTTGTGTTTTGTTTTTAAAATATCTAGCAGGATTTGTTTTTTTTCCTTTCTGCTTGTTCTACTGTTTTGGAAGGTATATATTCTGTTTTTAATTGTACTAATGAATAGGTTTTAAGTTTACTTTTATTTTTGTTTTGTAATTATTGAGGTGAAGAATGAAACACTATAATTTGAGAAATTGCTATTTAGGAAGAAGTGATTTTGCTTCCCCAGCACCTACCCGCCCCCCCACTCGCCCACTCGCTAGTCTCTCCGTGCAATCTAGAGCAGCGCTGGCCGGTAGCGATATAGCCACGCGTGCCCTTGTCAATATTAGAATAGCCACATTGAAGAATGTGAAGAGGGACAGGTGAAATTAATCTAATGATATATTTACTTTAACCCAATATATCCAAACCGTTACCATTTCAAGGCGGGGTCCCAGCTGCGTTTCGGGTGCTCAGTAGCCACGTGTGGTTAGTGCCCTCGGCACACAATGAAGCGTTAGAATCTTATCCTTGTTATTAAATGAGGATACATCGTTATCACAGACGTGAAATTTGCATTTGTGTCTATGGCCGAGCACACTCGTTGTTCAGACGTAGGTCGGGGTTTTCTGCCCTCGAACCCGAGCCAGCCGTGATGGCCCCGGCCCCTGTGCTCTTGAGCTCTGGTGTTTGCTTCCTTTCTGTCTTCGTCCGTGGGGGCTCCTGAAACAAAAGCTGTGGACCGGGGAGTTCGCGCAGCAAACCTCTGTCTCTCCCAGTCCTGGAGGCTGGGGCCCGGGAGCAGCCGGGCAGCAGGGGCAGTGGGGGGCTCTCCTCCCGGCCTGCAGCCGGCCGCCTCCCTGCTGCGGCCCGTGGAGGTCACCTCTGCAGAGTTCCCTCCGTGAAGGGCGCTGACCCGTTCATGGGGCTCCACCTTCCCGACTTCGCCTCCCCGAGGCCCCAACGTTAGCACCGTCGCGCTGGGATCAGGGTCTCAGCACGTGAATTTTGGGGGCACACAAAGGTTCCATCCAGAACAGCCACTTAGTCATTTGTTGTATTTCCGTAAGTATGTTCGGAGGCTTACCTGGGCGGAGCACTGTCCGAGCTCTTGCTCACGTGAAAGTGTGTTGCTGTTGTCCTTCTTTGAGGAAGATGTGATACTCTGAAAAAAGAAAAAGATCAACCTCAGTCCACCGGAGTTTCCCCAGGAGCCGCGTGGCTGTCCCGCCGCCTCCCGCTGGCGAGTGGGCGAGGGACGGTCGGTCACCGTCGGTCCCTTTCCAGACAGCTTGTCGTTTCCGCTCGCATGGCGGGAGGACGGTTCACCGGTCTTCTGACGTTAGAACTTGCCGGGACGCGCCTCGGGTGAGCTCTGAGGCTCAGATCTTCTTACAACTCGTTACGTTCCTCTGGTCCAGACACACTCGTCTGTGTCCGCTCGGCCAGGACGCTCGTCCTCCAGCCCTTCTTTGTGACTATTTTGGTCCCAATTGCGCCCTCTCTCCCCAGCAACTCAGTCACCGCGTTGGTCTCAGCTAAATACGCGCCTGTTCGTCACCTTTGTCTCACCGTGTTGGTGACTTTCACCTCCACCGCCGTGTCTCGTGTTCCCACCGTGAGCTGATGCTCCGCCATGTTCGGTTTGCTCTTCTGCCCCTGGCGTGAGTTCCCAGCCCGCTGGCTGAGGGCGCGGGTCCCCCGCTCGGGCTGGCATCCCGGCCTGGCCCTGCCGCTTCTGGCTGTGCGACTTTGGGCAGGTTGTCTGACCTTTCTGTGCCAAGGCGTCCTTATCCCCAAGACTTGGTCACAGAGTTATGTGAAAATGAGTGAGTTGGTAGATGCCGAGTGCTCAGACCACCGCCTGGCGTGGACACTGCTTAGTAGATGTCATCTGACGTCACCGGCTTCGTCGCCACCACTGTTACACAGGTTATTTTCTAAGGTCCCTGAAGCTGTCACTAGAGTCACCTGGAAGCCCCTGTCTGCCTCACGGCATTGCTCTGCCATCCGGCCACCCCCCAGGTCCTGCGGGGTCCAGCTGTGCTCACTGGCCAAGTCCCTTGGGCACTACCTGGGCGCAGGCCAGAGCCCCCCACTGTGGGTAGAAGCAGCTCCTTCCAGGAACGGGTGGGCTGTCCCGGGGCGGCAGGGCCCGCAGCTGTGCTGGGAGGTGGGGGACCCGGGGAGACGCGGCATCAGCTGGCCCAGCGCCCAGGAGTTCCGCTCGGAATGGTTTGGGCATCCTGGGCTCCTGCACTCAGGGACGCTTGGGGACGCCTCTGCTCCAGCATGGGCGCCGCTGGGACGCAGAGAGAGAACCGAGATGCGGCCTCCAGAGCTCCTGCCTGCTGGGCGGGGTG